GTGATATACTACAACAGTGTGAAGCAGTCACAGATTGCTATATCAAAGTCTACCTTTAAAGATAATTTTTCTGATGCTGGATGCCATGGATCAGACTTATCGTTTATTTGTTATATCAATATCAAGAAAAAATATCAGTATAGTCATCAAGTTTATGTTTCTAATAGTAGTTTTTCAGATCACAGTTCATCAAAATTCAATGCCAAAGGAATAATTTACTTTTATGTACATAATCCTTTAAAAAAATCTAATGTCACATTAAATATTAGCCATGCCAATTTTACATCAATTTTGACAGAAGGAACTGGAATATGTTTGTATGCAGTGTCCAATATCTCTGATAACTTTGCTAGAAATGGCAATGCTCAAATCATACTGACAGATATCACTGCAGTGAGAAATACTGAACTCGGCAACTTGTACACACGTAATTATCACAAAAGTATTTTTGTCATAGAAAACTTTGATTACATTTTATTAAATGGAAACAGTACCTACACTAATAATTATGGGTCTGTATTTGGCATCTCAAACACTAAAGTAATACTTGGAGGTCAATTACACTTTGAGAATAATACTGGGAACAGTGGATCAGCATTTATGCTAACTGGTTCTAGCAGATTCATTTTAAAAGATGGGCTGAATGCAACTTTCATTCATAATGTGGCTTTTACTGCTGGAGGAGCAATATATGCATACAATGATATTACATCAGAGTGTATGTTCACACCATCAACAGATGGTTCTAATATTACTATGCTATTTATTAATAACAGTGCTACATATTCAGGAAACTCTATATTCAGCAATAATCTTTATAACTGTTCAACAAGGAAAAACTTTTATCCTGTGGTAGCTAAAAGATATTATCATGCTTTATCAAGAGGTACTATATTTAATGAAATTGATGATAAACAATTGTCTACAGTTGCTTTAAAGCAAGTAATATGTTACAACGATGCTTCAAATTTCCTTAATAAGTATAAGAGTATAGTTGTGTATCCTGGTATGATGTTATATTTTCCAATGGCTGTCCTTGATGCATTTAATCAATCAACTAACACTGATGTTTCACTAAACTTATTTAATTTTCAAGATAATATAGGTAGAACTATTCCTTCAAATAATTGGTATGTTACTCCCAATATTATAACTTTATCAGAAAACAATTGCACAACAGTTAATGTTACAATATTCAAAAGAACTGATGCTACAATTTTCGTGCTAGGTCTTGTAAAGACTACTCAAGTTTCAAAGATTTCAGTGACATACCTAAATCCAAAAGATTGTCCAGCTGGCTTTGAATTTGATAGCTCAACTCATAAATGTGAATGCTCTCAAGTATTACATAAAATTGATTTTCAACCTGTTTGCAAGATTTCATCAGATGGTAATAATCCACTAATTACAATCAACTTAGTAACAAGCTTTATCAGCCATTCAACCTGGATTGGTACTCTTGACAATGGAACCGTCTTTGGAGTTACACCTCATTGTTACATTTACTGCAGATACAAAAACAATAACAATGCTTTTGTCATCAATGATAGTGCTGGGAGTATAAATGTAATGATAGCAGATTCAAGTAATTCAAGTAATTATGAAAGGTTATGCTTAGAGAATAGAGAAGGTCCTTTGTGTTCACAATGCATTCCAGGCTACAGTGTGACTTTTGGTTCTAATCAATGTGCAAAGTGCAGTAACT